CTACTAGGCTGGAGGCCATCGCTATTAGGTTGGAGGCCATCGCTATTAGGCTGGAGGCCATCGCTATTGGTTGGAGGCCATCGCTATTAGGTTGGAGGCCATCACTATTAGGTTGGAGGCAATCGCTACTAGGTTGGAGGCCATGGCTATTATATAGGTTGGCTATTAGGTTGGAGGCCATCGGTATTAGGTTTGAGGCCATCTATAGGGTGGAGGCCATCGCTATTAGGTTGGAGGCCATCGCTATGGAGGCCAGCACTACTAGGCTGGAGGCCATCGCTATTAGGTTGGAGGCGAGCGCCTTTAGGTTTGAGAGTCGAACGGTACATGCTCACTAAGGCACCTGCTTACTGAGGTCACTGGAAAGTAGACAGGTTATCTTTTCACCAGAAAGCTCCCAGGATATCTTTCACCATCAGCCGCTTGGCTCGAGCGTGCGCAGCAGTTCAAGATGCCTTGAGGGCAGGTAGTTTCACTCTGAATCCCGACGCCATGCGTGTGCAACGAAAAGGGTGTGATGCGGTGTTGGGAGAACGGTTCCTGCTGCCCAGTTGTTTTGACTTGGTAGCGGGGCTCCGGTTACGCATCCTGTCGGTGTGCACCACGTTCTTGCTTGTGACTGGCGTTGTTGTTGTCGGAACGCTTCTTCACGACTTCGTCACGCCGGCAGAGCGCATGGAAGAGATTCGTTTGGTGCGCAGTCCTTTGAGTGAGCCCTCTCCGCAGTTGTCGCTGTCAGAAGCTGAGTTCCCTGAGATCGTTGCAGACGACTCATTGGAGTTGCTTGAGCGTCAATCGCCTTTTGTCGCTGACAGCGTTGATTTGCGAGATGAACCGGACGCCTTGAACGGCGCAGCATTATACAATCACACATTGGCAAGCAACATGTTGTTGCAGTTCGCGAGTCGTACGTTGCCCGCAGAGGACAATGAGTCGAACAATCTTTCGTTGTCCAAAGCGGCCCCGGCGGTCACGACTTCGCAGGGTTTTGGACCCGTGGAAGCCGAGCTTGGTGTGGCGATTGACTCGTCCGAGCGTGCTTTCTCAATGGGTTTTGGACCCGACCGGACTCAGCAAGACATGGTGAATAAGACACGCAAGTTTTGGTTGGATAAGTCGTACTTTCATCCGATTCTTGAAGAAGTGTTCATGCGAAAGTCATACATGAGTGATCAGATGACAGTGTCATTCAGCGGACGTCGCTTGCGTGACCAGTCTGTAGCGTCTGTAGCAGATGATTCGGACCTTCGTGTGTTACAGCATGCAAATGAGCATGTCGCCAAGTTTAAGAGCTGGAGGCGAAAGAAGTAGAAGCCTCCTCGTAGCATTGAGCAATACAAGAAACATTGGCGACAATACACAGTTCTTTGGTGTTTTTTTTGCCGGTATTGGTATGATGATGACGGCTGTGTGTCACATGCATCAGGCATTTCAGGGTCCAAGCCAAAGACCCTTTGCCTATCAAGGCCAGGCGACGTTGAAGACACCACCTGGATGGAGTGTTGAAACATCCCACCAGTACAGCGTCCGCAGTTGGCTGTCAGACCTGGTTCTGTGGAGTTCATCCACAGAAATTGAGCCCCAAAGACAAGGCCCCCTTGCTGCCTTACAAATAACAGGAAGTGCCCGAGATCTCATCCGAGAGATTCCACCGCAGGTGCACGGCCAAATTGACAACCTAGGTAATCACATGACAGGCCTCATGGTTCTTGCGCAAGTCCTCACACAGAAGTACATGCCGCTAGATAGTGAGCTGGCAACGCGCGCATTGGCCGAAATGATGTCTTTTAGTTGGACCACGGACGAAACGTTGGACGCGTGCCTCGTTCGATTCGACGTACTGAGGCATCGCGCAGTGCAACGTGGTGGTTTGGGCATGACTTTTCAAGGGATGTCTTGGCTTCTTCTGAGAGGCCTCAGACTGAACCCAGATTCGTGGGATAGAGTGTTGACACCGTTGGACGGTCAGCTTCCCCAAGACGAACAGCAGTTCAATCAGCTGATTGAGAGGATTCGTCGGGTTGGA